CTCATGATCACACAGGCTGGTGTGCTTCTTCCATGTGGGCTTTGTTGCTTCTGAGCTAGATGGCCGCTTGTTTACCTTCAAGTCTTTAAGACCCTAGAGACTATATCTTTTGATAGCCGGGCTCCATCAGCTTTCTTTACCACATTTGCTTATGCACCTACTTTGTCTTCAGCAATTGTGTTGGGAAGATGAGCTTCATGGAATGCCAGTTTAATAGAACAACATATTCTTCCATTGAGGGAGTACTTGAGTGGAAGCCCAGTGTTCATCTGCTACCTTAGTACTAAACCTGTAAGTATATGAACATAGATCTATTTCCCATCCTCATATATAAATATATTTATATATGTACATGCCTTTATTTGGACCTCTATAAATTCCCTTTGCCTCCTAGCTCTTTCCTCTATTTCCTTTGACTTTCTTTTTATCTCATTATCATGCTCAGCCTTCATTTGGATTTCAGTAATTCCTCTCAGTTACATTACCCTTGATCACACCCTACCAGGCCTCCTACACCCTCCTCACCACTGATTTGGATCATTTGTTGTTCCCCTGTCCCTGGGTTTGTTAACACCACTGCCTTCTCCTCCACTTCCCCCTCTCCCATGGCCCCCGAAACTGTAGGTCCTGTTGTTTTTTCCTCCAGATTGTTCATCCAGCCTATCTTATTTAGATAGGCTTGTGGAGATAATAACATTCACAAAAACAAAACAGAGCAAAACCAAGCAACAAAAGAAAACAAAACAACAACAACAAAAGGCCAATGACAAAACAAAACAACACAACACAACAACAACAAAGAAAGGCTTGTAGTTAGTTCAAGGACTGTTTGTTGGCCTTTAGGAGTGTTTTCCTGTCGAGTCTGATGGGGTGCTAAGCCCTGGCCCCAAAGTCTATTTTCTGTATTCCCTGGGGACTTCATTGCTCTGTTCCCCTTGCTGTTTTGCCTTGGTGTGGTGGGATCATTTCGGGTGCAATTCCCACACTGTGTCTCCAGTTTATAATTTCTAAGAAATGAAATTTTCGCTTTTTCCGACCTAATTCTTACTCAACAGGATTTACTAAGGGTTTGTCTACGTCTGCGTGTGTGCCTGTGAAGATGGTCATAATCTTCTAGAATTTCCATTTAAATGGAAATAGCACTTACTCACTCGTATGTCAGCACAGATCTTGTGTGAACACATGCCTGAGCTCTTTCTTCTTCCTCCCACTCTCCAAAACGTGCTCAGACAAGTTCAACCCAGTTAAGGCCCTCTTCTTTCCATTAAGTCCCCCAAATCTGATTTTCTCTTTTTATCATAGCACTTAAATACTGATATCTCTACTGTTATCTTTTCTTTTGCCACCTATAAATAGACAGAAAACAGACAATAGTCACAATATCTTGTATCTCTCTGGTCCCAGAGCAACTATTACCATGTGAGGCACAAAGTGGGACCTGATACTTGATTGAGGGATAAAAGGAATCACATTTATCACTAAAATTTAGAATAGCACTTCAAAACTTTTTTAAAAATATGAATGCCTTTAAATAATTTACAAGGTAAAATACATACACATTTCACCATGTCAAATTATCAGTGATTCTCTTTACTCTTTGTGGAAATTTATTATTTTGTCTACAGAGGACAGGTTGTTAGTTCAAGGGAACATTTCAACATCAGGATCAGAAGAAGACTCATTAACAGCCTGTTATATACAAGCAACACAACCTGGCTTGATGAAAGCAAGCAGAACTTGAGGCACTCACTAATAAAAATCACATACTACTGCCCTCCATATGGAGTATGCCTCAACATAGAGAAAGGATGTTACTGAGGATTAAGGGGCACCTGACCAGATCCATCCAGGTCCTTGTTATTTTCAGTCACCTCGCATGTAGGAGAAAGTGCACAATGTAGAAGGAAGACAGCAGAAGAGCTGATGTACATATTTGAGTTATGATGTTGGTGGAGATTACTGAGCACATCATGAATGGACAGAAGAACAAACAAAGCTAACCTTGGAGAAGTATATCGAGATTGCACCTTAGAATAGTGAGACTTCCAGTCATGCACTTTGGGCATGTAACACAGAGGACTAACCCCTGGAGAAGAACAACAGCAACATTCTCTGAAAACTCAAAACCAACACAAAATTTAAAAAACTACAACAAAAAACACCTCATTGTCATCTAGCTGATTCCAATTGATAGTGGAACAGAGAAAGGCCCTTAATGAGATAAATTGACAGAGTGGCTACACCAATGATTTGAAACATAAAAATTTAAGGATAGTGCAGGACTGGGCATTGTTTTCTTCTGTTGAAACTAGAGTTACTAGGCATTGAAACTGACTCTAAGGAAGCTAAACAATACTTACCAAAATAAGCCATAGCACATAGTCTCACTTAGACAGATGCAGAAAGATAAAATAGAACATACATTATGGAAACAAAGAAATGCAGGGACACTCAAGACAACTATCGAACAAGTAAGATTAAGGGTTTTAGTGGCTAAACATGATTAGCTAACATTGAACCTGAAAAAAATAAATATTTAAATTGCTTTATAGCATTGTATATTCAAGGGGTGATTACCATAAAGGGATTCAGCAAAAATAGTTGTATGTTTAGTGGACCATTTATCATTTTACTTTTTAAAAAAACAATCTAATATACTTTAAAGAAAATGTATTGAGCTCTCTCTCTAAAAAAAACAAAACAAAAACGAGATCTTCAAAAGTCCTAAAATGAACAATGTCTGAATGACAGTTTCTGAAGTTATAGAAAGAAAGGTACACTTAATTAATGTAGTCGTTATTTCTCTGTTCCTAACAGCTGCAAGTGAAAAACAAGTGAAAGCAAGTAAGTTGAGTAAAACTTAAAAAAAAAACACCTCTAATTTCTCAGTTTTCTCATTCTCATTTTCCACTATGGAAAATGCTAAGGTGAATTTGCCAATGGCTCCCTTGCATGTGTGTCTGCTTATTGGAATGATACATGAAATAATTCATCTAGCTCTTCTTTGTCAGTTTTAATTTTTATTTATTTTATTGTATTCTCTGTCAATTTTATATTACTAAAATTTATCTGTAAAGATTTCATTTGTACATGAGAGTCCAGATTAAGACCTCTTTTTGAGTTGTGTATGTGTACTGTTTTCTGCTTTGTAGAGTGATAAGTATTCTCTTCAATGTCTTAAACACATCTTACTTAATTTCCCTCATGCTTAATCACCTGATCAGATCATTAGGCAACATGATTTGTCTACTTTGAAAATTTTTGTGCCTTTAATGAAATTTAAGCCCCCACCAGTTTTATTAACTATGACTCTTATAAATGCTATAATATCCATTTATGACTTAGATCATCAGATATGGAATATTGACTTTAATCAGAACATACTATGACATTTGAATCAATAGTAGCTCTAACATTATTATAATGGAGAAACATGAATTTCACTCGGTGCTTGTTTATTTGATGAAGTACCTGACAAATTGTCATTAACACAAATTATTTTAGGCCTGATAACAAATATCAGATTTTAAGGAGAAAATGTTTTAGCTTCTCTGTGTTTTACAAATTGGATTTGTGATCAAATCTGAAATCCATGCATGATACAATATGCTCATATTTTTAGTTCAGTTAGATCATAAGCTTCATTAATGATCATACTACCATATAAAAAGTGTGTGCTTTATACTGGAAACATAACAAAAATTTGTCAAGAATGTCTTTTTAAAATGTGCTAAAGTTGAACGTTTTCTCATAGGCACAGACACTGTGAAAGATTTAACAGGAATCTAATGTTCCATTTATAGCTCCAAGATAGTTTTAAGTTGAATGTAAAACTGATTGAAACTCTATATTATGCAGTCTTGTGTATGCTAATACTTTGTGGTACATAATCAAGAAAAAATATAAAACAGAACTGATAATCTTCCAGCACTACTAGGGAACCTTCCATTTGAAGATCCATCTGAGATTGAACATTTTCCCCCTAGAAAAAATGCAGTGTATAGATAAAAATATTCATTTCAAATTTTAGAAGATCTAAGTTCTGCTATCTCTAAGACATACTATCCAATCAGCGTTTGAAGAAATCAGCATCTTTTGCAGGAAATTAGCTGGCAAATTAAATTCAAAATCATGCTCAATGCAAGATGAAAGTTTTAAGAGCTGATATTCAACTGCACACATAGTAATTTAGACTTGACATCTACATTATCCTTCAATGCACATGGCTACCGGAAATTAATTCCCGAATAGCTAAAATTCTTGATCAATAATGTAATCAGATATTTCTCCAGTTAACAATGGTTTGCAGTTTTATTAGACAAAGAAATAGTAAACTGAATAATGTCTATACAGTTGCTGTAACTTGTAATGCCTAAAGTGAAATTAGCAGGATATGTACTTGAAAATATAGAGAGAACCTATATAAGCCAAATACAAACTTATCAGCCTCGAGTTGATTCCAATGCATAATGGTCCTGTTTAGGATGTCAGAGAGACTGGAAGTCTTTTCAAGAGCAGACAGCATCATCTTACTCCCACAGTGTACCAACACTGGATTTGAACTGTTGGCCCACAGAGCCATCAGGGCTTCTTTAAACTATGTATATAGTATGGTAACATATATTTGTATACATAACTTGTAGATTCAGAATATAATTTTTATATGATGTTAGAATAAGAGATCAAAGAAGAATGAAGTTGATAGGTAGATTAGCATAAACAAAACATCTGTCCAATTCAGGGTCTGGCATTGATTTGCTCTTTTCTAGGTTCTGTGGCTCTAAGTTGAAACCAGCTCAATGGCATCATAGATAATTCTATGCTATTGAATTAAAAAGCATACGTGCATTTGATAAGATTACACCAAACTCATGGAAAAAATAAAAGGTGACTATTATTAGCACTGAATTAATGAAATAACTAGAAGGTTGATTGAGCTCATTGTATTAAACTATTTGCTCAAAACCAACCAAAATTACATAAGGAAAATATCGAAAGACACATTTGTGCTTAGGGGTTGTGTTAATTCAGGACATAGGTGCTCCTGGTGTCTATGAAGTGGACGAAAATGGAAGCTCTTTAGGTTCAGTGTTGTAGATCAAACCACCCTGGGTGATGACTGCTACTTATTTGCATGTGCAATTTAACATCACAGCATTGTATCTTAGATGAAAATGTCTCTATTGTTATTAAGGAAAGTTTTGGGGTTTTAGAAAGTTAGAGAACATTATAGTTTGGCTGTCTCTGCTGGCTTTGCTCTTAGGTGCTGGAAACAGTTAGTCTTTTAGGCAGTTTTAGTCTTACCTGACTTACAATACTATGAGGTATTGATCTGGCATATCTGGTATTCATTTCTCATCCTTTTAATATCTGAATTTGCAGAAACTGAACGAACCAAAGAAGAGGTTGGGGCTGCCCCTACTACAAAAGGTAACTGCAGCTTAAAGAAAGATATCTTATGGTTATGTCTCGTTTCTGCTAGGATTTCTGCTTTACTGTGTTGTTTAGTGCTTATAGGAGAGCTTTATAAGTATACATTGATTTCACTGTTTCATTGATTTCAAAAACAAAGCTACCTTGCACAAGATTTATAGTTTTATGTTAATGAAGTTTTGTCCTTAGTAGTCGAGTGCCAATAGCTCTATTTCTTTAGAGTCATAAATTAAAGCTACTAGTTAGAGTCAAATTACAAATTGGGCTTTGAAAAATTGAAGAAATGCACTTGTATTAAACGCAATAGAACCCCAATCATCTGAAGAGAATTTAAATTCAATTAACTTACCACAGGATGTCAGGGTGAAAAAACAAGACTCTGACTCATTGAATCTACACAGGCAATGATCCTTCATGAAGAATTAGTATCAAATATAAGAAATGTTGACTTAGGAACACTGAACTTGAAGAAACATTTTGGAGTTTACAAAACAATTTCTCTTCTCATATCTAATCTGAAGACCACTTATTTTACTCTGTCTTCTGTTAAGGGGTATTACTAAAAATATTTAAGCATCAATATCCTTTAAAACAATCATAATGATAAAAGGTTTAAATCATATAAAATTGAAATAAACTGGAAGAATTTTTCAATTTATCATACCCTTTCACAAATGAAATAACTAAGAATCTAATATTCTAAGAAGTTTCCCCAGAAACAGATTAGGAACCCCAGCCCTTGTGGTGTGGTGAGTTAGGAGTTGGGCTGTTAACTGAATGGTCAGGGGTTCAAAACCACCAGCAGCTGCACATGAGTAAGATGAGGCTGACTGCTCAGAAAACACATATAGGATAACTATGAATAAGGATTGACTCAATGGCAGAGTGTTTTTGGTTGTTTTGTGTGTATTTTTTTCTTTTTCTTTATTTTTAACCTCAGCACACACTCACTTGCCCACCAATATCTAAACACTCTTCACCCCAAGAACAGATTTTATCAAGGTGCTTTATAAAGAAAACATAGGAGCTTACCATTGAGTTAATTCCAATCCTTTGTAAACGATGGATGTCAGGAGAGACCAGTCCCTGAAGAAGGACATCCTACTTGCGAAGAGTCTCATTTTATTTTCCATGAGTTGTTCTGGTTTGGATCCAACTTGATGGTCCCTAACCACAGCAACATGGATGTCAGAACAGCACTGTGTTTCATAGTTTTTATTGACGAACAGCCAAGTATATTGAACATGTGCATCAATCAGGTACCCCTATATGTGAACAGAAAGAGTAATGCTAATTAATGTATTACATTTATAAGTAGGTCCCTGGTTGGCATCGTTTTTGCTCAACTACTAACTAAAACATGTAGTTGCGTCCACCCAGCAACACTGAGGAAGAAAGACCTGGTGATGTACTGCCGTTAAGATGATCTCCATTGGAAATCTTGTGGATTGCAATGTGTCTGCTCTAACACACATGAAATTTCCACAAGTCAGATCAGCTTATTGCTACACACACACACACACACACACACACACACACACACACTGCCATAGAGTCAGTTCTGACCCACAGCAACCACACAACAGTAAGAAAGACTGCCCAGTCCGGCACCATCCCCACAATTTTTCCTGTGATTTACCAGCCACTGTGTGAATCCATCTTTTGGGAGCCTTCTTCCCTTTCGCTGCTAGCTCTGTTACTAAACATGATGTCCTTCTCCATTGACTGATTCCATATGACATGTCCAAAATAAATGAGATGATGTCTTGTCATCTTTGCCACTAAGGAGCACGCTGGCTACACGTCTTCCAAGGCATCTTTGCTTGTGTTTAGCAGTCCATGGCGATATTCTTCATCAGCACCACAATTCGGATGAATCTATTCTTCTCAGCTCTTCCTTATTCAATGTCCAACGTTCAAAGGTATATGCAGCAATAAAAAATATCATGGTTTGGGTCACAGGCACCTTAATCTTCCAAGTGACATAATTGCCTTTCGATGCTCCAAAGAGATCTTGTCTGGCAGATTTTAGCCAATGCAACATTGGTTTCTTGGCTGCTGGCTCCATGAGCAGTGATTGTGGATCCAAGCAAGACAAATTCTTAACAACTTCCACCTTTTCTCAATTTATCAGTTGTGATGATTGTAATCTTCTTTGCATTGATTTGTAATCCATTCTGAAGGCTGCAATTCTTGATCTTCATTATTAGTAAGTGATTTAAGTCTTTTAATTTCAGCAAGCAAGGTTGTTTCATCTGCATACCACAGGTTGTTACTAAGCCTTCTTCCTCTCCTGATGACACACTCTTCTTCATATTATCCAGTCTCTCTGATGATTTGTTCAGTATACAGATTGAATAAGTATGGTGAGAGAATGCTAACCTGACTCCCACTTTTCCTGATTTTAAACCTGATTTTATCTTGTTCTATTTGCACAACTGCCTCTTGATCCGTGTATAGATTCCACATGAGCGCAATGACGTGTTCTGGAGTTCCCATTCTTCCCAAGGTTATCCATAGGTGTTTATGATCCACACACTTGAATGCCTTGGCATAATCAATAAAACATTAGAAAACATCTTTCTGTTATCTGCCTTCAGCCAAGATCCATCTGACATCAGAGATATCCCTTGTTCCACATCCTCTTCTGACTCCAGCAGGAATATCTGACAGTCCCTGCCAAGGTTGTGTTGCAACCATTTTGGATGATCTTCAGAAATTCTTTACTTGCATGCGATATCAAGTACAGTTAAAAAAAACAATTGAACATTCTGTTGGATGCTCTTTCTTTGAAATGTGTACAAATATCGATAACTTACAGACAATTGAACTATTAGCTGTCTTCCAAATTTCCTGGAATAGACCAGTAAATGCCTCCTGTGTTTCATCATCAGCCTGCTGAAACTGTTTCCACTAATGCTTTCAGTGGGCTTCTGTCTTCAGCGCTATTAGCTGCAGCTCATAGACTACACCCAGAAATGGTGGAATGTCAGGCAAGTACAGTGAGTCACTGTAGTCTTTCCATCTTTCTTTCTTTCTTTTTGATGCTTAGTTCATTGCTCAATATTTACCCCTAGAATCTGTCAATCCTTCAACTCAAGGCCTCAGTTTTTTCCTGAGCTCTTTCTGTTTTAGATCTTCTAAGCACGTTCTTCCCATTTGATTTTCTAATTGCAGGTCTTTGCACGTCATGATAAATATTACTTCACCTTCTCAAGCTGCCCTTTGTTCCGTTCAGCTCCTTGACGTCATCGTTTCTTCCATTTCCCGTGTCTACTCTATAATTAAGAGAAAGTTTCAGAAGCTCTTCTCACACTGGCTTTAGTCATTTTCGTTCTTTCTTGTCTTTTTAATGATGCTTTGAGAAAGCAGATCCTCCTCAGTCACATTTCAAGGCCTTCTGGCCCAAAGGGCCCATCCTCTGGTACCATCTCTGACAATGGTCTGCTTCGGTTCATTACTCCTCAATAATCTGACAATGCTTCCATGACACGGGCGTGTTGGCAGTGGCTAGTATCTCTGGGTTGGACAGTGGTTCCTTCTTAGTCTGTTCTTACTCTGTAAGGTCTGTGGAACCCTGTTCACTTTGGGTGATGCTGCTGGCATTTGAAATACCAGTGACATAGCTTCCCAACATCACAGGAAGACAAAAGCCACCATAGTATGACAAACTGACAGATAAGTGGTACACAAACAGACACATACACATACATGATATATATTGTGAGAAGACAGGAGCAATTGGATAGTGAATGCTTATAGAAAAATAAAAATTGTAATTATAAGATAATAATAAATTAACAGCACTAATCTATAGTTATAGGAAAAGAGTTATGCTGGCATCAGTAGGTTACATGTTGGGCTGCTAACGGCAAGGTTGACAGATTGAAAACACGAGCTGCTCCACAGGAGAAAGATGAGGCTTTCTACTCCCGTAAAGAGTTACAGTCTTGGAAATATATAGGGGTAATTCTATAGACTTGTCCTATAGGCTCTCTATGAGTTGGAATTGACTCAATGTCAGTAACCTTGTTGTTGGTTTCGCAAGTTGTAAAAATTAATAGATGCATATTTCATATGACATCACTGTATTCATTATTCTGAAATTACAATGCACAGGAATACATTTGTATTCTAGGTAATTATTTTCTTAATAACCTAAAGATATTGATGCCTGGTTTTGATAATAGAATCATATTTCATTTATTCTAATCTATATCTATTATAAATAATTTTAAGCTTGTTTTTAAGTCATATTTTCTTTAGCAATATATTATTTCATTATAAATATCATTTCTCTAATTTACATTTGTCTTTCATTTGTAGCTTTAAAATTGTTCTCTTTCTTACTCAACATATTTCTATGGACCATACTCTACATATAAAATTAAGGAAAAGATTAAAGGATAGTATGGCTTTGAGCATTTAAAGTATTGAAAGAATATTATGCTGTATGTGCTTTAATTATTTTGATATCAAATAAAAGTTTTCTACACTTGATCTTAGCCAAGAGGCCAATAAGCGAAGACATAAAAGTTTCCTACATAACCACAGGTCAACGTTGAAACCCATCCTAAATTTAATGAAATTATCAAAAGTTCTAAAACCGCCCTGACCTGAAACAATTAGAAAATACTTTTGATTTCAGGTGACTCTAAGTTAAGTGTAACAGGTAGGGTTTTGTTATGTGACAATACATGGGTACTCTATGTTTGGCAGAAGTAACAAGAACAATTCAAGGCAGTGGAAAAGATAGAGTTGATCTCATGAGCAATACAGAAGTGAATGAAAATTTCTAAGTATGATAATTACCGTAAGGTAATCGAGAGGCACCAGAAACCAAATCAGCCGAATTAGAACAAACAGCTTTGGTGAAGTCCCACGGTCCACAGTGTCCAGGCCAAGGGAGTCACACCCCAGGCTACAGGGGTGGTACTTATATGGCCAGGGAACATGTGACTGGGCTGTCTTGAGTCCATATAAGGTAAAGTAGTCAG